CCAACTTTGTCGACGTAATCCACTCTAACGGCGACAGTTTCCTACGGGGAGGCCTGGGATCGTTCGCGCCCATGGGTCACGTGGACTTCTACCCCAACGGGGGTCGGGTGCAGGTCGGCTGCAACTCCGTGTTCATGGGCGCCCTATCGGACATCATATACGGCAAGTGGAACTCCCTGTGTAACCATCGGAGGGCGTTCCGCTTTTTTATCGACTCGATCATCAAGACCTGCACTTTTCGGGCCTTTGCCTGCGATACCTATGAGAACTACTTGAGGGGCGACTGTTTTGCCTGCGGGTCCGATGGGGTCCAGTGCTCTAATATGGGCTATTTTGCCCATAAGAGCACCGGTAGGGGCAATATGTACTTGGTCACCAGGGAGAGTGAGCCGTTTTGTGGTGAGTGTGCATTTTGGATTTATTGATAGTGTCTAGTTGAATTAATATTATATATTTATTGTTAATAAGCTTAGTTGATATTAAAATAATCAAGGTTTGATAAATTTTTTATAAAACTACTTATAAATATTGCATAGTTTAGGAATTAAATTACTTTAAAATTTATCCTGCTTATTGTGTACAGTATTAGATAGATAGTATTAAAAATATTAATGTAATTATTTATTGGAATATTAATTATTTTTAAAAATCATTTAATGAAAGTTGAGTTGTATGTAGAAAATAATTTTTAAAAATGATAAGCACATTATTGACCAGGATTATTAAAGTATATTTTATGAAAGCAATGTTCACGCCTACATAATAAAAATGTTATATTTTTATGTATACTCTAATGTGCATTAATATTTTATGTAATCTATTGGATTAGTTTTTCCATTGAAAAACAGGTTTAAAATGCATTTAAAGCTATTTTTACAATAACTTGTGGTTTTCATTGAGACAAACAAAATAACACTTAACCATAAATACCTATTTTAATGGTCAGACATCACCCTGGTAGCTAATTTATCCGAAAAATATGTTTACTAGTGAAATGATTTTATTTTCAGACACTATGAGTGGGTTTAAAACTTTTATCCACTTATAACACAAGTCTGAATAAAAGTCATGAGATTTTTATTTTTATTTTTGTTAAAACCATTTTCGTAAACACTTTTTAATTAGCAGTATATTTGCTGTGGACTTAATGTTTACACAAAACTATAATAATAATCTCAATATTCTGCAGACTATTTACTAGTTCATCAAAAATTATCGTAAATATAATTTTATTTCTAGATGTATACTATAATATAATCCAATAAAATATTTAAACATTTTATGTAAAACTGTAACAAATTAATAACAAATAATATATCAAATATTTAGCAAGCTTTGACAATTATATTACGGACATGTGCGCCCAGTTTACACTAGTACAATTTAATTAAACTAGTTACTTTACAAATTAAATTAGTTTAAAATAATCTACATTATTAAATACACTAAACATACAAGCTAGTTATTAGATAATTTATAAAATAAATTAGACAAATAAATAATGATTTTTATACTTCATAATTAATTATGCATTTGAAACTGATTTTACAAATATTTATACTTGCTATATTTTTATCTATAATAGCCAATCAATACAAAATACGTGTGATCAGCAGCAGTGGCCAGGGATCAACGTGGGGTAAACTGGAGATACTATTCGTGGCCAGGGATGGCAAGAATGAGACTTTCGTGTTGACCAATGAGGCCGACGAGATCAAGGATACCGGGTTTATACAGGTATGACACCCAACCACCCACCCCACCTTAACCCAATTTACTATAGCCTACTGGTGCACAAATAAACTAAAATAATACATTTGTAAAAGCACAAATAATAAAATAAAATTTTTCTAGCAATCTTGCTAGTATATAAGTATTTTAAAAGTTGTTTTATATTTTGGTAAAAGTTATATATTTTTAGTGGCCATACACTAAGTCAATAGACTTTTAGTAGTACAATAAATTAAATAAAACCATTTTTGTCACCAATTCTAACACTATTGCCATTTTTGCATTGAATGTCACTTTAGGCCATAGATATATATATATATAAATTTATTTATAAGTGCTCATTACCAGCACTTTTGTGACATAACTGTTATTTAATCAAAAGTGTTACTCAACTACCCGTTAGCTCCGGGATATGATATCGAGAGTATCTATACTTTTTGGACTAACTTATGTACTAATCTATCAAAGGGCTGGGAGGTATAAAGTTGTGACACATCCTTTAGGGTCAATATTCAATATAAATGCCATGATTAACTTATTTAATTTTTTATGAACATGCATGCTTGATTAATTAATGACTAGGGCTTAGTGGTGGCCCACCCTATCATACGGAACGTTACTAATGTGGTGCTGACGTACACCAAATACAAGGGCTGGATATACAGCGGTAAAGAGCACTGGAATGTCGACAAGATT